AAAAACGATAATAAAAATAAAAAAAATTAAAAAAAAAAAAAAAAGATTACCAGATTGTAATTAAGCTTGTCATCACCAATTGTTATAAATTAAACAAACCCCACACAGGTTTCATAATCCTTAATTTAATAAAATAATAAAATTATATAAATCAATTGGTAACGATTTAAACAAATACAGTGAGCATATCTGACTTTACATCAGTCATATATATATATATATATATACACACACACAAGTAAAGTAAATCTCAGATGCATGACTGTTTATATCATCACAAAATGTAAGCAATATTTTCTCACAGGAGTGAAGACTTTTTTTTTTAAAGAACGTAAGTAAAGTACTTTTTTTAGATAATGAATTTGTTTTGAAAAAGAAGCTACAGAGTCATTTATTTTTTAGTAATTCATCAAAATATTTAAAAAGGTTTGCTGCATGGTTGAAATGCGCTACACGTATAAAAAAAAAAGCGAATTCATTTAGGCTAAAACGAAACTGAACCCAACGTTGCGTCTCTCATTCGACACAAAATCAAATGTTTCCGAATTCACGATGTATTTGAATGCCAAAATATTATTTATTATGTAGCCTACTTAACTCACGTTCCAATATCCATGTAAAACAAAATGGTTTGCATAACATCATTCACGGCGGTACGGTGATAACGCTTAACGGCACAGATTTGACTACATATTTAAACTGAGCAGTGTTTTTTTCCATATGTTTGACTGACTGTATTTTATTATGATGAGCAGGCTGCATTGTCAAGGTAGCAATGCCTGTGTGTGCGCATGCGGCGCAATCACTTGAATTTTTTGCTTCTAACAGTGGAAGCAACTACTCCTTTTAGTCAAAGATAATCGGAATTGAAAAATGTTTGCCTTTGTGTACATTCACAATAAAAATGTACACATTTCTTTCTGCCGTCTGGTTTCCTTTTGCGCCGCACAAAAATGAACGGAAACTCTGAATACTAGGCTACTTGTTGCACAGTTTTTCTTTCGTTTTCTTAATTTATTATTTAAGTAAAAATATATTTCTCGACATGTTGCACAGTTTTTCTTTCGTTTTCTTAATTTACTATTTAAGTAAAAATATATTTATCATATAAGGCCTATTTATCATTAAATATATAGGCCTATAGCCTAGCTTTATTATGTTTTTCTCCGCTCGCAGAAGCGCTGCAGGTGCGTGATATGATATGAAGACCATGTGAATCCTCATGTTCTGTTGTTTGCTGCTTTTTGAGCATGTAAAATTAATCCCCGGGAAACAAATGTTAGTATTTTTTAACGGGTCACAGACACGTATCCGTTCTAATTGAATTAAATTCGAATTTAAAATAATCTTGTCGGTTAACAGTTAATAATTGGTTAACGAGCGTCTGTTGTCGGTTAGGAAAAATAACCGAAATGAACATTCCTAGTCTCCATTGTCCACTTGTGATCCGATCGACCAAAACTAATCTAATACCAAGTGAATCATTCAATGACTCATTCAAAACACACAAAACAAAAAGCCACATACTGACAAAATTATTTAACCCTAACAAAAGCCACTAAATAAAAACAGTGAAAGAATATGAATATCACTTTGATGAACTACGTCAGAGTACTGATAAACTCATAAATTAATCACATTCCCCACCAATAGAAGGTTAATACATCAAAACTGTGGTTCACCTCCTGTATTTGGTGGTTTTGCTCAACTGTCTGTTGGTTGATGAGTCGCTGCTGCTGAAGGTCCTCCTGGAGTTCCTGTACTCTAGCCTGCTCTTTCTCCAATGCCTGTAGACAGGCTCGATGTTCAGCCTCAACATTTTCCAGCTTAAGCCTGAACTTCTAACAGTGGAAGCAACTACTCCTTTTAGTCAAAGATAATCGGAATTGAAAAATGTTTGCCTTTGTGTACATTCACAATAAAAATGTACACATTTCTTTCTGCCGTCTGGTTTCCTTTTGCGCCGCACAAAAATGAACGGAAACTCTGAATACTAGGCTACTTGTTGCACAGTTTTTCTTTCGTTTTCTTAATTTATTATTTAAGTAAAAATATATTTCTCGACATGTTGCACAGTTTTTCTTTCGTTTTCTTAATTTACTATTTAAGTAAAAATATATTTATCATATAAGGCCTATTTATCATTAAATATATAGGCCTATAGCCTAGCTTTATTATGTTTTTCTCCGCTCGCAGAAGCGCTGCAGGTGCGTGATATGATATGAAGACCATGTGAATCCTCATGTTCTGTTGTTTGCTGCTTTTTGAGCATGTAAAATTAATCCCCGGGAAACAAATGTTAGTATTTTTTAACGGGTCACAGACACGTATCCGTTCTAATTGAATTAAATTCGAATTTAAAATAATCTTGTCGGTTAACAGTTAATAATTGGTTAACGAGCGTCTGTTGTCGGTTAGGAAAAATAACCGAAATGAACATTCCTAGTCTCCATTGTCCACTTGTGATCCGATCGACCAAAACTAATCTAATACCAAGTGAATCATTCAATGACTCATTCAAAACACACAAAACAAAAAGCCACATACTGACAAAATGATTTAACCCTAACAAAAGCCACTAAATAAAAACAGTGAAAGAATATGAATATCACTTTGATGAACTACGTCAGAGTACTGATAAACTCATAAATTAATCACATTCCCCACCAATAGAAGGTTAATACATCAAAACTGTGGTTCACCTCCTGTATTTGGTGGTTTTGCTCAACTGTCTGTTGGTTGATGAGTCGCTGCTGCTGAAGGTCCTCCTGGAGTTCCTGTACTCTAGCCTGCTCTTTCTCCAATGCCTGTAGACAGGCTCGATGTTCAGCCTCAACATTTTCCAGCTTAAGCCTGAAAGACGGACAAACATTTTTCAGAAAAAAAATAAAAATATGGCATATTACTAGTGACAATTCATATTCAAAGAGTGTGCATGCATGTTTGCTGTACCTGAGCTTGTGAATTTGGCTCTTTAATTCATCTTGATTTTTGTATGTAGTCTGAAGCTCTAGCCTGGTCTCTTCTAGCTCCGCCTTCAGCACTGACACAGCCTTTAGCTCCGCCTCCAACTGCCTCTGCCCCTCCAATCCCCTACTTTTCTCAGCTTCCAGAGAGGAGTGCAGATCATATGACACGGTCTGTTCCTGTTGCAGCCGCAACACCAGCTCTTCAACTAAACAGTGCACAGAGTTAAAATCTACCTTTGGGCCTGTTTTTGTTGGTTTTCCAATACTTGCGGTAAATTTTTTCCCTCAAATGAATTGTGAAAAACATACCATCTTTATGCAGCTGATGTTGCATTTCCATGCCCTGTTCTTTTGCGGTGTGTAGGGAATCCTGCAGCTGCCGCAGCTGTTCCTGGCTCTGCTGGGTGCTTGCATGCAGCTGCGCATGCAGGCTGCGCACCTCAGCCAATAGACTGTGACGGTCTGCGTTGAACAGCTGCTCTAGAGATCTCCACTGCTGCTCCTCCTGAAAGAGAATAGTTAATGAATAACAAAAGCACTTTAATGCATTTAATATGGCAATATCAGCATCAAAAACAGCATCACATGATGAGCTACTCAGCACCTGCTTCTGAAACAGTTTCTTTAACTGATCCAGCAAAGGGGTGAGGTCCATCTGAGTAG